CCTAGCCTATCTGTCTGTCTATCTGTCTGTCTATCTGTCTGTCTCTTTCTCTCTCCTTCTTCCCTGACACACACACACACATACACACACAACATACACACTCTCTCTCTCTCTCGCTCTCTCTCTCTCTCTCTCTCTCTCTCTCTCTCTCTCTCTCTCTCTCTCTCCCGTTCTCTTTGTCTTTATCTCTCTAACATACTGACAATGTGCTCTTCTGAGTCTTTGCAAAGAACACAGCACAAGGCCAGGAACCGGATTCGAATCTACGATATTTTCGTAGCGAATTTGACAGCCAAAGCATCATACCATCGATGCCACAAAAATAAGTATGTCATTGTTCTATCTATTGAAAAGGCTGCATAGATGTAGACAGCTTTTATTCTACCAAAATCACTTGCACAAAATTAGCGAAGGGTCTTTCACCTTTTCACATGTGAGGAACACCCCCCCCCCCAAAACCGTTTCATAAAAAAAAAATTAAAAACTTTAAAAAGACACAAATATATATTTTTTTACACATTAAAATAAATAAATATAAAAAAGACCAAAATCCCTCTACTTGCTTTGGCAAAACTTTTCCAAAGTGCACGTAATGTTCCGTTTTCATCGCTTCCACATAACAAATTATGATGAGCAAAAGAAAAGTTTGGATTGTCTCCCCTAGACAGGTCGTCGATTAAACCAAGGGTGACCAACACTAAGAGACAGCTTATCACTTCAATTTCATACCAGCATTATGCTACCAGTGCCAGACCTGGACATTCAGTAAAAACCCATGAAAGCAAAAACAGTGCATGCGAAATTAAATGTCTTCGCAAAACCCTTAGCATCACAACACGAGACAGGCAGAGAAATGAAGAAGTTAGAGAAGCAGCTATCGGCACTGAGTCCAGCCTGCATTTCATTGAAAGACAGAGGATAGAATGGTTTGACCCCCTATTATCTATGTCGCCTGACCAGCCAGCCTCTAGAGCCTACAACACCAAGCAATCAGGCTATAAAGGAAGAAGAAAGCCACTCAAAAAGTGGATTGGGGGTGTCAAGGAAACCCTGAGAAAACAAAATATCACAACACAAAGAGCTGCAGAGCTGGCCTACCATAGAAAACTGCATCTCCCCTCGACGTTTAATGGCAACAGAGGATGAAAAAGTAAAAGTAAAAAAGTAAAAGAGCAACTCAATTATAAAAAAGGCCAAATTCAATTTACGCTGACTTTCTTTTGTGGGACAAACTGAATAAAGGATACACACTGAGGAGGGGGAAACTTACTAATGTTAGCGAGTTATCACGGTTCTTGGGACCTGCCTAGCGTCTGGATACCTGGAGGTGTCATTTCTGATTCAGAGATTGAAGTGTAATGACCCTCCATCTTTAACGGTCTCGAGCTGCCGTTGTACATTCTGCGGTATCCAGCCCAGTGCCCGGTCCATGTTCTTATATTGTCAATCCATGTTATTCTTTGCCTTCCTCTGGCTCTCCTGCCCCACATTTTTCCTCCAAGCACCTCTTTCACAATGGTCTCTATTTTAGGTATTCTATTTTTCTACTTTTTTTTTTCTCTGCAGGGTCTGTCTTGTGTGTAGAATCTGACACACCTCAGGGTCTGTCTTGTGTGTAGAATCTGACACACCTCAGGGTCTGTCTTGTGTGTAGAATCTGACACACCTCAGGGTCTGTCT